AGCCACTCCAGAGATATCGATCCCACCATCTCCAGGCCCACTAAAAAATAATAATATAAAAAAATGAGTACTTGCGCCATTATCATCGAGAATTAAGAAGAACGTTCAGAGTCGTTTGCGACCGAGACCACAAAGTGTACGTGCATCGAAATCCTTTTGAAAAGACGTTCAACAGAAGTACTTCGGAAATAGGGAAGAACGTTCACTATCGAAACCGTGGCCACGAAGAGCTTTCGATTCCCTATTTTACACAAAGAGGCAGTGCACAATGACTCGACAAATATATCAGTGAGATACTCACCATTTTTATTATTTTTGACTCCTACAGCATCCAATCTATCGGCAGTTTTGTCTTCTAGTTCCTTTCCTTTTTCGAAATTGTTCATTTTATTTGTTATGATTAACAAATAGAAATGAGTTGATTGAAATTTTTTTACGATTAGTCGAATCTGAGTCGAACAAAGATCGAGTTAAGTCGAATTCAGTTTCTGTAATTATTAACGGGTTCGAGTTCGAATATGCCATAAACTCGACCCGACCTTACGGAGCACTAGTTAATGATGTTGATAGACATTTTTCGTGTTGAATGTAGAAGGGATCTATCAATACTAATGCTCCATTTAGAGATTTAAAAATTAACTGTGATAAAAAATTTAAAGTTTAATTTATGTAAAAAAATTAAAATAAATTACAATAATCTTTAAACATACGTTTTATATTTGGATACAGACCACCACAACAATTACGAGAATATTTATGAGGCAACACCACCTAACGAAGTTCCATATCTCGTTGAGCAAATTAACGTGCTCTTCTCGTAATTGTCTCATTGTCATTACATCACCAGCATTTCGACGGATGAGGTTCGACCGCCGTGGTGGTTCTTCTTCTTCGTCGCGCAGCTTAAGGAGCAGAAACAGCATCAGGATCGTCTGCTGGTGGAAGAGGAGGGAGGGAGGTAGGGAGGAAGGAAGGGAAGGGAGGAAGGGAGGGAAGGGAGGGAAGGGAGGGAGAATTATAATTGTTTTTTTTTTAAAACAACTGGAAAATGATATGTGTAAAAAAACAATCCATTTCACTCCACTTTTTTATTTTGAACTTTTTTAGAATAAACCATTACGTATCATATCGGCAACATCTATTATTTTAACAATCGAACTTTCTGGAATATTTTAGAATAAAACATTAGTCATATCGACATCTATTAATTTTTATTTAACAAAAAAAAAAAAAATGGAATCTTTGGAACGCTCCTGCCAAAATGTCTGGTTTCAAAAGAATTTGACTTTACTACAGTATTTTAAAAACTGACAATGATTTATGGCGTGGCGTAGCAATTTTCTTGAAAACCAACCAATTTTCAGTTTTTTTTTTGATACAGGTTCGATTGTTTAGTGCAATACCGATTCGATATTTCTTTTGCTCTAAATTTTGATTTTTTTTTTTTTAATATTTTATATTTTTTTTTTTTTGATTTTTTGGAAGATAAAGGTAATTCAATTTTTTTTTTAATCATCTTTTTTTGAGTTCGAATGATTAATTAAAATAGGCAAGAGTTTTCTCATTGTTTCGATTTTTTTTTTTACAAGGTCTCCTCTTTCGGGTTCGATTATTTCCATCGTGTCCATCGATTGATTTATAGTAGATTTTCTCATTAATGGTATTATTTTCTACTTTTGCTTCAGCCCGCGATATTTCTTTTTTCTCTTTATTTTCGGATTAGTTTATTATCTTCAGGCACGCTGCGATCGAACATTTTCTTTTCATCTATCCGCCCTTTAGCTTAATTGAATTTTTTTCTTTAGGTACTTCTTTCGGTTTAATTTGAATCTGGAAGTAGATAAGGCAATTTGCTTAATTATCTTAATTTGTATTTTATTTTATGGGTTTAATCGCTTCGAGATGAAGCGATCGAATAATACTTGACACCAGGATGTTAAATTACGAATCAGGATCCCTACCGCATTTATTGTGCACTAAAAATTGATATGATTTTTTAATTCGATTTTCGTTAAATTCGATTTTGTAGAAATAATTCCAATCCCTATCATATGTTATCGCATGGGATAATGAATTCAAAAAAACGAGAAACAAGAAAAAGAGTATAAATAATAATAAAGTTGACAATTTCTTTCGGCCTTGCACTTAGCCCATGCTAATAAAGAATCGTTAGTGGAACTCATCATTATAATAAACGGTTGATGTCGTACTGCAACCAGAAATTCCACAAGGTACGTCGGTTAATGATTCTTTTAAAATTTATCAATCAATTATCGCATTATAATTATTTTAACATCAATTTTTACGGTTATCGGTCTCACAAACATAGGAATCGCTAATGTTTCTTTCGTCATGATGATAGAACAGCGGATCAATACGTGTTAAAAGATTGGAATTAATATAAATATAAGATGAAGCTTTATAAATATAATTTCAACTGCGCTTTATTTCAGGTAAAGTGACTATGTAATTATTAGCTGAAATGGTTTATACTAAGGTTTTTCATTTGAACTTTTGTCTTATTAATTTAGAATCATTTGTAAAAATTTACGATTCCTCAGGAATCATTCCATATAGGTTTGAGAGATCAATAGTGACATACATACATATGAAATGCAAAACGAATCGAAAATATCATTGATAAGGAGAATGAATTTGTGATTTTACGAGATTAAAATAAAACCCATACTAAACGAGCAGGTAGCACTTAAGTGTTGAATTAAAAACATTTTGAATGAATGATTCATGTTATGTGTCGCGCGCCTAAATAAATAAACAATTTAAAAACAAGTACGAATTTTCTTCGTTAATTTTAATATTGATAAGCCAAAGTTTAATGCACAGCCAATTTTCTTTATGACATTATTCTTATTAAAAATCAACTGATAAATTTATTAAGATAGTGAAATTTATAAAGTTTAAATTACTTTTATCAAATACAAATTTCTGCTTTTTTTTTCCTTTTTTGATCTTTAACTATTTATATACGAATATTTTGAGCTACGTTATTATATCATTTGTTATAGAATTTGAGAAAAAAGGCTTTGAGCCTATATAACGACTCTTCGCCTTGCATATTTTATAAAGCTTGAAATTTTTAATAAAGTTCGTTTTAAATGTCCTAACTGTTAAACTTTATTTTTTTTTTTTTAGATGAACCCATCAAACAATCAAGTTCAATTTCAAATAAAATAATTAATATATACAGTATTTATCCTCGATGCAAAATTCCAAAGCACTAGCTATTTCCAAGAAGATTTATTTGGATCTTGGTAATATTGTGTTATTTGTCAAACTTCCAAATTATTTTGAATATTTGAAACATCATTTTTTTCTATTATGTCCTTCGATTATCAAATTGACTTGACGGGAAACGTGATATTGTACATTATTTCTTCGATCATTAATAATCGACTATAGTTAGTCAAAAAAAAATCTTTAGTATAATTATGATTCCAATCTCTACGAAGGTCCTTTCATAAAATATTTCTTTCTCCTTATGGACGGATCATGATTGTATAGAAAATGACCCATATGAAATTTTTTAATTTGGCGATCA